TCCAGCGAAACACCGTCAGTCAAGATCTCTCCTAAATGTATCCATCCGTGGTACCGTTAGCAATGCTGTATCAGCATTATCATTGGGTGGAGGCGTTACCAGCCTAGCTATGGAAGACTGATCAACATTGTTACCCCAAGGTAACTGTGACACAAATTTCCCATGAGCCACTTGCTATTGGTGGAAATGTACCTTCTGCCCTGTTAACAGTTCCGAGTCAAGATCGAACCTAGATGAATCCATTTATGGTACCGTTATCAATGCTGTCTCAGCATCATAATTGGGTGGCGGCGTTATCAGCAAAGCTAGCGGCAGAGTGTTCTTCATTGTGCTTGGATTGGAACACGTGCCGTCAATAGATTTACCTATTTTGAGATATACACGTACAGTAAAGCATCAGGCCCAAAAGAGTTTGTCTTGAAATTGTTGTGGGCTTTGTTTTCCATGAAGATTTAGCAAGGAGCAATTTTCATGGTGGGGAGTTTCTGCAAGGGGTGGGGGGGGGGAGGATCGTCAGAAAAGACGCGCTGAAACACAGCTCAAGTGGGAAAAGAGTTTCCCGATCCTACCAAAGGAGAAGGTTACAGAAGAGCACTCACAGACGCCGTCAACGGAAAGTGCTGTAAGATCGCAACCAAATTGGGGCTGTAAATTTTAAAATCATGATTTGTCATCACAGATCAATTAAATAATCTGGTTTATTTTCCGTTTAAAGTTACTTTTGTAATTTTGTCTCATGGTAATTTCAACTGGAAAAAAAATATCCAAGCTTAAGGACAGGTTCACGTCCAACTTCAAAAGAGTTTTTCAAAATATATATCAACATCATCTGTCACCCCATTTTTCAAGTCCATTGCACTGTCAGCTGTTTCTTCAGAAGGTTCACTATCAGAGGAGACACTGTTGTCATCAGATTCATCATCTTACTTTTTGGGGGGGGGTCGGGAGTACCATCCAAGCTCAAGAACAAGTTCATTTCCAACTTAAAAAGAGTTTTTGAAAATATGTTTCCACATCACCATTCAACCCATTTTTTTTTATAGGTCCTTTACATCAACTGTTCCTTCAGAAGGTTTGTTATTATCAGAGGAGACTCAATGAAAGGGATGATGAAGACATAACAATGTTGTAAGTTACTCAGAGCATACATATCGCCGCATGTACGTGATTGCCCTCCTCATATACTTGATGCATATGTTGTGTATACACAATGTACAAAAACATGAAGTGTTATATAAATTGATTCTGTGTATTCTATACCTTGACTTTTGCTTTACGTGAGTACATTTTTGATTCAAAACAATATTTGAATGACATTCTTGTTGATTTATTCTGAAACCAGTTGTGTTCCATTGAACACAACTTATTTTTCTGTTTGTAAATAGGAGGGAGTGACTTGGATGTGTCAATTTGCAGTTCACAGATGTCCGAGGACAGCCTAATGGAAACCACCAGAAGCACAACAAGTCATCTCATGGAAGGTACATTTACATCAATTTTACTTTTCAGATGACATCGGCAGATTCATCATCAAGGGCCCATGAAATGTAATTTGTTTAATGCAATCCTTGAAAATTATGTGACTTTGTGTCCCATTTAACCTATACTTCCATTTTGCGTTTGGTGTCTACACTTACGGAACTCTTACGTCCGAAAAACAGCTACAGTCAAGGATCTGGGGCAAATGCCCACCGGTATGGAGTGCCTGTTGCAACAATGGCAGCAGAAATGGTCCTCAATGACATGTCCAAGGCACCAAAGATAATTTGTGGCTCCTCTATTGCATTGATAAATGCTGTTACGAAGGAAGCTGCAAGGAAGGTCACGAAGTTGGAAAGAATGCAAGAATCAGCAAAACTGGAAATGTTCAAGTTCCACCCAAATTGGAACGAGAGGCGAATTTTATTCAGCATTTATTCCTATTCCGGCAGTGATGAAGACATCAACATTGAAAATCCTGGGATCAGTAAAGGGACAAGTTGTTGGCGTGATTATTATACACATTTTTTGAAGTTATGTAACTAAAATGCAGGATCTGAAATTGACAAACTGAAAATGGTTTTTGTTGAGATTATATAAATTATATTATTATATTATAACAAAGACTTTTGGAGAAGTGCAGATTTTGCAACATGATTTGAGGAGAAGGGAGGTGGAAAATCTTCATGAGATCAATGGTAAGAGTTAAAAAAAAACGTGATGGAGGGCCGAAGGAAGAAAAGTCCAACAAAAAGAAGCAGGTGTATGTAGCGCCTTTTCAATACTGGAAAATGAACTCTTATTGTTGCCATCAATAACCTATGATTTACTTGTAGATAATCGAGTGCTACACTGGGCAGGCCTGTCACTTAGTCAAGTGTTGCATGTTGCTACATTTTGCAGGGTTCTAGCAAACATACCCTGGAGGGTTAGGGTTGAAGGACAAGAAACCTTCAACTTAACCCCAGTGAAAGTAACGAACATTGAAACAACACTCCGATGCTGGTCTGTCCTTTGTAACTTGGAAAGCCTCACATCTACATCTCTTGTTACATTTTGCCACTTGTAATAGCCTGCAAGTTGTGCCTTTATAGGACACAGTCTTTGATTGTTATACATGTATTTTCATTTTTAGCCTAGAAAAGGAAATCATTATTTTGAAATAAAATGAATGACAACGCAGACCTTGGTCTGTCTTTCACAATTTCACAAGTAAAGAAACGGAGATGAGCACAAGAGCAAACATAAAGGGAGGAGTAATTCCTCAAGAAAAAGAGGAAGTCACTCAAGAGTTCTGGTATGACGCCGAAGGGTCTCTACCACCAGCATAAAAGGAGAGAGTCAAACAGAACACTGTGACATACAATGTATGGCCATGATCAACATACTTATCCTACTTTATACAGCACTTGGTTGGAACAGCAGATACACTTGTTACGCCTGGGCCAGAATATCTAGCCAGCCAAGCACAGATTGACGTGTGTGGGGGAAGATTGTGGTCACCTGCTCCGCAACCGAATGATGATGACACTTGCTTGAGACAGTAAGACCAGCTCATAGATGCATTGTGAAATGTGAACACTTGAGGAGTAGGATGACAGCCAGTGCTTATGTCACCATATTAGATATCTGTTGCGTATTGCAATAACCAAAATACAAGTACAGGAGTGTACACAAAAATTGTTGTAGGAGAAATCAGATATTTCAAAAACTGGTTATCTAATTTGTTTTCAAACCACATATTGACGTAACGGTTATTCGATTTTGCAGGAAGTTTTCATACAGCTCACAGACAAGCAAAACAAAAAGTGACAAGTGAAATGCCCCCCCCCCCCCCCCCCCCATGACTGGGTATAGTTTGCAGGATTTAATGACCACCGGGCCTTTACCAAAAAAATCAACAAACAGAGCTGTATGTAATGTTGTAAAAAAATGGATGGGAACTCTCCGACAAGTCAAATGGGCAGGCTCTTCATATACCAAGAAGAGCTAGCTTGTGAATGCAGTTACAATCAGAGACCGTGGAGCAAATTGATGGATGTTCTAGATGTTTTCTTGAGTCTGTGTCACAAAAAAATGACTGGCTTAAATTTCTTTTAAAGTTGGTTTCGAATATCCGGTTTCCAAAATCAAAACTGAGTAGTGGATCTCAAACCAAATGTTATAAATTTGGATTTAAATCCCACGACTACAAAAAATGCTGAAATATAACATCTTACGAAATTCTGTACACCGACACTTGGCTTTGAATAAGTGGACCAAAAAAACTCTCCTTAGATTTTGTGAATATTTTCTTGCAATGCTTGTGCTATCTTATGTTAAACTAGTTCAAAACAAGGCTTCGCCTCACCCACTAAGTGACAAGTTGATAAAAGGATGATTACAGGTCAAAGGTTAAAACCCAAACAAAACCGTTATTTAGCTACATGTATCTGTATAGACAACTTCAAAAGTTGTAAATTACAAAATTTAAAAAAAAATTTGAATATCGTACTGATTCTACATGTATTAACCCTAACCTTTCGAAATCCTCCAAAATTCTCTTGGCAAGTTGGAGGATTTTGCAGGTTTGAGGCCATATGGCAAAAATATGTGGCTGAATTTGGAGGATGCACTGTGTCAAGGTCCAAGGGCAAACCTTGTGTTGTTTATGCTCGGCCGTGCATAAATTTAGGCCTAGAGTATATACTTGAAATCCTCCCCGCTGTCACTGGCTCCGCCTCAAAATATTGACAGTGATTGCTGGAGGATTTTGCAGGATTGAGGCAGTGGTCACCCCTCCAAGGACCACATTCAAGAAATAACGGATGATTCTGGAGGATTGAGGCTGTATGCAATTTTTTACATGATGACAGTTGGAAGACTTTGCAGGATTGAGGTTGCATCGTAGCAAAAATGCCTAGAGAGTTAGGGTTAACATATGAACCTCTGTCCAACGTGAATTGCACATGGCTCTCAGACACTGATCAGTACTTTTGCATTGAAGGTTCCAATCAGTGTTACACAATGTTGGTGAGTCCATCACAAGTCCCTGCAAGTCCATCACAAGTCCTCCAGTCTCAAGTCAGTCACTGGCGATTCAAATGAACTGTTACAAAAGCATTCCTTTGTACGGAAGCGTATTTAGGACATGACCGAAAATATTTTTTAGGCCAACTACTTCGCTCGGGCGGATTACCATTTCGCCCCTGGCGGATTACTATTTCGCCCAGGCGGATTACTATTTCGCCCGGGCAGATAACTATTTCGCCCGGGCGGATTTGCAATTCGCCCAGGCGGATTACTATTCCGCCTGGGCGGATTACTATTCCGCCCGGGCGGATTACTAATTCGCAAGGGCAGACTACTAATTCGCCAGGGCAGATTACTAATTCTCCCGGCCGGGCAGAATACTTATTCGCCCGGGCGAATTAGTAATCCATCCGGGCGACATAGTAATTCGCCCGGGCGAATTAGTAATCCGCCCGGGCGAAATAATAATTCGCCTGGGCGAATAAGTAATCCGCCCGGGCGAAATAGTAATCCGCCCGGGCGAAATATATCGGGCCGGACATTTTGTTTGGGTCATGTCCTAAATACACTTCCGTACCTTTGTCATTGTGACTGGACTTGTGAAAGGACTTGTCATGGACTGGACTACAACACTGATTTCAATGGAATCCAGGAACAGGTTGAAACAATCGTCAAAGTTCAAATTAGCCTCTAACATCAATTTGGAAGAACATAATTTTATGGTTCATTTGACGATTTTGAAAACAATAATATTTCAACAAGACACCCTCTTACAAGTACTTTTAACCTCCTTTATGAGTAAGCTCAACGTTACCAAGACTTTCTTCTCCCTCACGAGGTTTCTTCCCGGCCAACAAACAAAGCCTTCTGAAGAAACACTGTCACGGTATCTGCAGCAAAGAGATCAGTTAATTTTTATTCATAAATACTTAAGACAGCTTACCCATTCCTATTGGTCGAGAGCCCGTCACGTGGCCAGTTTTAAACGTTGATAAAGACTGGCTGGCTCGTCTTACTTTTCCAGTGTCACATGAAATTTTTACTCCTCATAAATCTGGTGCATTTTACTGTTTTATTGGTATAATGTGCAATACTAGCACCAGTGAGTCAGTATTTCATAGTCCTAAGTTCACAATACACCAGCACAGCTGCGTTCTGCGCCACATCGGGCAGTATGGGCGTTCGCACCAATCTCCATATAAGGAGTTGTTAACGAATACTCGCGAGGAAGGACATACCATAATATAGCTAGAAGGATGTTTTGAAAAACATGAAGTAAAATTGTTGAACAAAATTGGTAAAAATTAATAATTTTTGACTTGTTATGTCTTAAGGACCAAATAAGTTTTGATTTTTTTTTTTTTTTACAGAAAAGGTATATATGAATGGAAATAAACATGATTGGCCGGTTATTAAACACTATGTTTAAGACCGGTTGGTCTTAAACATAAAGTGCTAAAGCACATATTTTTTCCCTCAATAATAATTTCAGGTTAGCCAAGCTTGGTGGTTGTGTGGTTAGACGTCTGCACTAGCAAGCAGGAGGTCGTGTCCTTCAGTCCCCGCAAGTGATTTCTTCTCACAATCACTCGGGGGAAATACAAAGTATACGGTGTCTATTAACCCTATTAAACCGCCCTGAATCCTTAAAAACCCTCTTTGCCAAAGTGGAGTAATTTGGAGGATTGAGGTTACATGGAAAAAGTGCGTTACTGATTTTGTAGGATGCACTTTGTCAAGGTCTTGGGCCAGACCTTGTGTTGTTTTTGCTCAGCCATACATAAATAAGGGCCTGGATTATGCTTGAAATCCTCCATACTGCTCCAGGAACATATTGACAGGCACTGCCGCAGGATTTTGCAGGATTCACCGTGGTCACCCCTCCACGGACCATATTCAAGAAATAATGGAGGAATTTGCAGGATTGAGGCAACATGCTATTTTTCCATGAGGACAATTGCAGGATTTTGCAGGGCTGAGGCTACGTCCTAGCAAAAAGGCCTAGGGAGTTAGGGTTAACTAAATATGCAGTTAAGGGCAAAACCCAATATTGAATTAAACTCATCCCAACGCAAATTCCATCTTACAAATACTGATATAACTAGCCACTTACAAGTGATCTTCCTCAACCAGCCAGGCTTGTTGGTTGGATAGATGCAGATAGCATAGACGGGGAGGGCTGTCAAGGTCATGCCTAGACCAATCAGAGAATCCCATGGTTCACTGATAATGCCGAGTACCAGCAGACAGGTGCAGACCAGAACAAAGATGATGGGTAGTACTAGGTTCACCTGCAAGAGAAGTGGTTTTTAGCCTCGTATGTCATTAACCACTTCGCGCCAGGTTTATTTTTGCCGAAAATTTCAAAAATTTTGAAAGACAAAATTTCCCAGCCAACTACTGATAGACAGCCAAATGTCACAAATACTGATTTGCAAAAATGATTTAACAGTATTTGTACGATATTTTTTGCCGAAACCTCATATGTTTGATACTCCAGGGTGTGCAATGGAGCGTACATTTTACAAAAGGCCGTGCACAAGTTACGGCCCACACAGCGGTCAGCACATGGTCTGCCTTCACAGACTTCACAGCCTTTGTGTGTGTAAAAAAGGCCAAGGGGATCATGTTTAGAGTCACCCGGAGACGAGTTGAGGCAATCTTAAAGACTTAATCCGTCAGCCATGCCGGTGTACAAAAAAGCCAGTGGGTGATATCACAGCCTCCAGCACAAACTGGTTAAGGACTGTTCAAATGACTATTTGAGACATTTTCATGCTGTCCACATCCCACTCGAGGCCGGACTTCCGAGTCTGCAATCTGAAGTTTTCGTTTGCAGAGAATTTTACACAAGCATACAGGACAATCATCAAGACCGATTTGGCAAAAGAAATAATAAAGTTGAGATCATTGTAAGACTAGGGAAAATGATGATTAGTTTTAGGTAAAATCCAGTATATCCAGGAAATATTTTGAAAAGCCGATCGGATATCTCAAGGACTGAGCACAATGTTTTTATGCATTTCTGAGCAAAGAACATGTTTTACGAATGTAATTACTGGTTTGAATTGTGTTTGAAAAAAAAACATGATTTCAGACTGAAAATAAAAGATTAAACTCATCCGTAGGGATCCGTAAGTCCCTAACTAAAGTTCATACATTACTTGAATACTTGTACGAACCTTGAAAGGTCTTTTCAGGTCAGGCCTTTTCCAGCGTAGGTACAGAAGGCCGAGTATGGAAGCTAGGATGGTACTCCAAGTCACTAAAGAGAAGCAGTTGATCAGTCTACCGATGTCGTTGGACGTCAGGAATATTAGACCAAACGCAGCCTGGACCAAAACAAACAAGAGCTCACTTTCGACCTTTTTCTTATCCAGTAGAAGTAGGAGTAACTGAAACATTCGATACGTTGAAGCAACATTTTTAGACGGTGTTAGAATAACTTGGCTGTGGCTTGCAATAAGTCTGCTCGGTATCTCGATGAAGATTGAGATCAGGTTGGCATAGCAGTACTTTCCTCGCCTTCCATCGCTGTGACCCGGGTTCGAATCCTACCTTGGCCAATATGTGGATTGGGTTTTCAGTCCCTACCTGATTCCGTGGGTTTTCCCCAGAATATTCCTCTGGGCTTTTCCTCCCACCTCTTCAGCTGTAATTTCTTCTCATTGTCTTCTCTCTAACTTGGTGTGATGTTTCCCCTTGATGCTTTGCCGACTATTATGATATAGATACAAAAGTAGTCCAAGTCAAAGGTCATATGGGATCAAATCACTGACGTGATGTTACATTAACGCCCATTCTGCTCGTAATTAACACACGAGCGTTGTGCGACCATCTCCTTGCGTGTTCATGTGTCATTGATGAGCGAATGATCCATGACCCATATCACTGTGTGCATGCGCAGTTGAAATACCAAACTGGCTTATTGTCTTTTCCTTTGAGCCTTTTCTGTTCCCGTGGGTATACTTACAACAAACAGTAACGCAGGTGCAGGCGTTTTTCTCTGGACTTGTATCATACCCAGAATGCTTGGAAACTGTCCCTTGCGAGCACCAACCATGCACGTCCTGTAGTCACACAAATTGTAGGAGAATCCGTTTCAGCAATTTAAGAAAAACAAATTTACAATCAAGTTTTACAAGACCAAGACCACTATAGACCTTTATCATGCTGCCACCATTTCAGTCATGTTCCCTGTATCCTATAACAGTGCTGAATGATGTTTTTTGTGCAAAAAGGAACCAGACTATTTTTCCTTCCAGCCTCGCTTTGGTAACATTGATTTGAATAGGAAAAAATCAAGATGGCCGCAACATGATAATGGTCTTATTGTAAGTACTATTAAGGTCGGTTCATACTGGTTGTAATATCGAATGGGAAAGAGAATTTGTGACGTCAGGGCAAGTTTTCATGCTTCAAATTGGCAAAAAGTTAAACTCCGGCGAATTTTGCAAATACTTCGTGACGTCAAATTTGCATCGCATTCACATAAAGTATAAATCGGCAGTGCTATATTAAATTACTAGAGCGCTGACTCAAAATACAAAGTGATGCCTGCTGGGCGCAGAAATGTTTGTGCACAAACCTATGGAATACACTCGAAATCGTGTATGGCTTTTGTACAGTTATTTGCATATCTGCGTTTGTATTCTATACATGTGCCTTATTGAAGTTGATACGCTCAAAACCGAAATGCAGAATCAGTATTAAAATGAGCATTTCATTTTGCTCTGCACAAACAAGGCAAACGCTTGTGCGTATCCGCTGCACAGGTCATTTTTGCCATGATATTTTTAACCGTCAGGAAGAATAGTTGTTGCGTATGTTGTACTGAGCGTTGCATTTAGAGTACACTTTCAAAACTCGCTCCACCTAATTTCATTATGTTCTACAAACATGCACATGAATTAAAATGTCTGCGCGCAACCAGCTTCAAAGTACCGGTATCTCAGTGTGAAAGAATGAGTACTTAGCACTCTTGTAATTTAATATAGCTCAATGGAACAGGCCTTTACCTGAAATAACAAACCAGTATCTTCTTCAAAATACTGGCCAGCCGTCACTACATCACGTTTCTTAGTTTAAAGCTGCCAAAGTTCCGAGTTTGAGTTAGATTAACGGCGCAAATAAACGCTGTTAATCAAATCCATTAGTGTTGCCCTTGGTCCTGTGACCTACCTGGAGCCTTTCAGCAGTCCTGCATTGAGAGCTCCCACCATGGATATGGAGACAGCTATGGGCATGATCCAGGAAGCGTCACCCAAGACCTTCTTACCAAATGTCTGCGATGAATAAAATGGATAAAGTATGATTAATGACAGCCTCGACTCCATGGGCTGCGTGCGGTGCCTTCATTAACTCCTCGCCGTGTAGAATACAAAAACGATGCTCATTTACTATCCAGAGCATACTGCGCACTGATTTTGAAGGCTGCACATATCATGTCACATCACGTACAAACATGGTTTTTTTTCAAGACTGTGCGATGCCAGTCTGCCAATACGGAGCCCGGAAGCACCTTTTTTCGCAAAAAACCTTGTACCTGCGTTGTAAAAGGGACGACGTCGAAATCTCATCTTTGAAAGATTTGATTCAACAAAAAAAACAAAAAAACCAAATCACCGACCCAAAATAACCCGAGTATCTGGCTTGGATAACTTGTGTACATTCTTTGTGCCTGAAGTTACTATCGTGTGAAAATCGCCGTCTCAGTAAAGAATCAAACCATACATTGTAAGTATCAGTGAAGACTCAATAACTTTGTCTACTGGTGGGGCCTACATATACATCATATACACCTACACTGTACGTGATAGACCACAAACCACATGATGCACATTCGTGTGGTAGGTTGGCATTGGTCGTATCGGGCAGCACGGCATGAATTTCCTAATTGTTTCGGTTTATTTTGGCTTATTTCGGATTTTTCACAAGATAGCTTTACCGACCTGACCCGAACCGAAAATTGCAAAAGCAAAACCGAAATGGACCCAACCTGACTGAAATGATGGGAAAACTGTCCCAACAAGACCTGACTGAATTTGGATCGGGTCGGTTTCAGATAGGGTTTGCACAGCAATACTACATGTAGTATTGGATAGTGTTAGATTCCGTAGGGTTAAGGAACTGTACTTACAAAGGCTACAGCTTTGGATTGAAGCATTTCCTGTGGATTGAGTACAGCAAGATAGGCAATGTTGACCAGCACATTGATGACTGTCACCAGTGGTAGGGAGACCATGAGTACTATGGGCAGGTCTCTGTTAACAAGAACAGCAAATAACCTCTCAGTTTATCATTTGTGCACAACTAACGCATGCCATAAACCCTTGTTTAAAGCTATAGTCCATCATTTGCAGCCATCCGAAAAAGTAACTGGCGTAATTATTGTTGAAAAACAAACTTGGTTGAAAGATAGTAAGGGAACTAAACTCCCTGTGAAATTATTCTTTCTGGGAAGCTGTCACTTTGAAGTAATCAACGAAAGAAGGCATTTCCAACGGTGATTCTTAAGAAGCACCGTAGGAAAATTTAAATTAGTAGTTCGTTTTGTTATTCAGCACAGCGCGCACAAGGTTTGGAACGACGCACACGCGCACGCGGTTGTTATAATTCGTCGGATCAGTGCGCGACATCGCGTATAGCTGCAATTCAAAACAATTCAAACATGATTCAGTAACTTTTGATTTGAAATTGAGATCTTAGAATGCTGTTTTTCTCGGAATATACAGCTGAAGCTTAGCTGAAACTTCATCAGGTTAGTTGCTCAGTATCCTTCATTAGATTTTGAACTCTTTTGTTGCTTCAAACGAACAAAATGCACAAATTACAAATGATGGACTATAGCTTTAAGAGCAAACCCAAAAATGGACCTTATATACTCGGGTTTTTGCCCGGGCATGTCAGTAGCAACGTCTAGGACATTTCCTAAAATCTCCCCCCGAAAAATGGGGGAAACTAGGCCAAACAGGTGCGCACGCATTACACAACCAGTACGAATTGGCCTAGACATTGTCCCCAGGGGTTCGTGGGTGATATTGGTTGGTCATGATAGCGCCCTCTTGCAGCGGCGGGTTATTGCGTATCATATCATAACAACGTCTAGCCCCTAGGCTAGTCGAATGCCCATCACCAGCAGGAAACAATTATCATCAATTGACTCAATGACTTGTTGCCTAAATCTTGTTTGAGTGGCCTTAACGCACACAGATTTTCAATAAATATAATATCCAGTGTAATATCCATTCATGTCCAGTAAAGAAACCATCTACGATTTTTTTTCATCGTTGAAATTGGTGCACAGACAACAGAAATCCTGATTTGTGGGACTGTACGTAAATAGGTGCATGTATGTATACATGTACATGTATGTATACATGTTTGTCCATATATGGTGAATGTGTGTGGGGGGCTGTCACCGCGTAAAGCCCGGTTCATACTTCATGCAAATGCGAAGCAAATTTGACATCATGAAACATCTGCTGCGAAATTTGCCCGAGTTAAAATGTGTTCAACCTTTAACGAATTCGCAGCGCGGATACTTGCCTTGAAGTCACAAATTCGCGTTCGCGCCGAGTATGAACCCAGCTTGATGGGGAATTTTTTTTGTATTGCTAGGCAAATTAGGACCGAGTTATTGGGGACTTTCTACTGTCTCCATGGCGTCTTCTGTCCCCAAAGTACCATGAGACAACACGTATGTTATCCCCCACAGTTACAGAACAAGTATGTGTGTGTCCTGAGAGGATGGACTGGCCATGCACCTGTGGTTTGGCAAGTTGCCTGAAGATATTAACCTGTAATGTTACAAGTGGGCTGACAAAAGGATTAAAAATAGAATCCTGGTATGAAAAAGACCCTGTATTTTAAAAGGGAAAACAGCTCACGCTTGTAAATTTCACCTTTTTTTAACAGGCATAAATATTAATCCCTTGCTCTACTACACCTCCATACCAAGAGCAATATCGCATATAAGTTGATGTTGAGTACATCACTCACCTTACAGGATTAGTTAGCTCCTCAATGAGGAAATTCAGTATGTTCCTGAAAGGCAAAATAAGAAGAAGAAAAGAACAGATTACAAATATTTACATGTACATGTATATAATATTGGATGGCTTTCAGATACTTAATTGTTGACTACTGTGATGTGGGATATGACGTTTTGAACACCAGTAGAGGGGCGCGATCGATAGCACCCGGGGAGAAGCCAAGGGTGCTATGAGCCCTGATGGCGTTCAAAACGTCATATCTCACATCACAGCAGTCAACAATTGTTTTGTTATACAGAGGTATTGGATTCTTTAGATTGTGATGTAAAAATCATGAAAACAAACAGCAGTAAAGGCAACAATCGTGACAATCTAACAGCAACTCACATGCATGTCGCGTGCTCGAAACAGCTGATCATCTGGTACCGGTAGTTCGCTGCTCCCACTCATGTGCAAAAACATGGTGAAAATAGCGTGGGTACCAGCAATACAAGTCTTTCACACCGTACATGCCGTTCACACCGTACATGCCGTACAATGTCATAGCACACTTACTGTGGGATATCACGTATATTACAGGATATCACGTTTATCACATGATATCCCACAGGGAGTGTGCCATGAATTTTATAAACTTAACACGTGATCGTTCTAGACCAATGAAAATACAGCATTCAAGACAGAGGTACATGTATAACAAAAGAATATATTGCACGATCTACAGTATGACAATATTGCAGGAGTCGAAGATGTGTGCAATGTTGTCATAGCGAGTTCTATATGGCATCTCATCCAGGGGGAATAGAAATATTCTCAGTCGTTTCACGGTACTGAAACCAGAGATACACGCTGGCTTGATGGGCCACATTGGCTCAATGTTTTTCACTATTGTGATACATGCGTGTGAGGAAACTGCAGTAATTTTGTTGACACCTTTCTGTACTTCCTTATTGCAGAGCAAGGGCATTCAAATTGAAAATGAGACGTACCATCCACCATATGCAAACAACGCTGCATAGAACGCGACTGCCACTGAACCCGGAGCTGTGTGCAGTCCTTCAATCGGCTCAAAACCATTCACAAAAGCAGCTGTATTTCCTGAATAAAAAAAACAAAAGGGTACACATTCCTTGCTCTAGTTGCACCCGATTTCACGAAGCCCTGCGACGCGTCGTAACCCAAGGACGTGTAACACGTCGCAACTCGTGACCCGTCATATGATCCATAAATTTCATGAAACTTGCGATGTGTTGAACGCGTCGTAAGTTCCTTGACAACGGCCTAAAACATGTCGCAAGTTACAACGTCTTTAGCGATCATTGCAAAAAAAGAAGCGTTCTTTTTTAAATTCTTAGCCATTTTTATGCCATAACTGAGACTATAATACATGTACCAAGACAATGTGCGTAAAGGTGTAAATAGAAAATTCTTGAATAACTAAAAATTAGCGTGGAATATTGCAGTTGAAATTTCAAAGTACCCATGAGTACAGTCCACTGAGAGCTTGTTTTTTCTTTAAAATTGCATGACATGCAGGTCCGCCATTTTGTTTTACATTTTAAAATTTTTCGAGAGGAGACTACACAACTCTTTGTTGAATATCAGACGGCTATTTACTGTACGCTGAATAAATACATTAAACAGTCACCGAGTTGTGCTATAAATACACCTACAATTTGTCGCACTTACGACATGTTTTGTGAAATGGATTGCAAGACGCGTCGCAGTTGCGACGCATCGTTGGGATACGAAGCGTCGCAGCGCTACAATGCATTGCAACTTACGATGAGTTTCATGAAATCAGGCACAGGTCCTCCAATTCATGTCAGTATTTGAAAAAAAGTGGCTCGCCCATGTTTTTTGCAATGCCAACAAATTTTGCCACTGTACTTTGTGGGTGAACCACAGCAAACTGCAAGAACTGCCAAAGGGTATTGACAGAAAAGCTTGGCCATGCTGTGAAGAAACTCTTCCGTCAGCAATAAACAATGATACCAAAGTAAACTAGTATGTGGTGAGATTCCCATGCCATCATACTCTCAAGAAGAAGCACATCTGGAATTTTTTAGTTTGTGGTTTTATTATTTTGTGTCTGTTTTTATTAATAGAAAACATACAAAGTGGAATTTGCTTTAAATAATTTGAACAGAGGGATTTCAACCTCTTACCCTGAGCCAGTTTGACCAGTCCTGTCATGATAATGACCAGCAATGCTAGAACAACAAGTCCCGTGCAGACGCCCTGGGCACGAGTCACCCATTTCACACTGTAGATGTTTAGGAATGTTACCAACACTGAAACAAATAATATCAAGGAAAATAGAGTGAACATCCATCAACACCTCAGTAAGTTAAGCTATTCCAATTCGGGCGATTCACAATGCGGTGCGCCAGCAAGAGTTTGCCATTGAGAGTCCATTTTTCAACTTTACGGTCGACAAAACATAGCCCACTGAATGAGTGTCAGTAGACAACTTGAGCTAATTTGTTATAGATTGGGGCTTAATTAGCGTTCTGTGTCACCTAACAAAAAAACCCAACATATTGATAACAAGAAAAGAAAAGAAACAGATACTCGAATCACACCCTTGCGAAACTACATGTACTGACTGGAAAAAAAATGAACAATTTCAAATGTCCAGCGCTGCGAATGTTGTCGACCATCTCCCACAATGCACTGGGAAAAATGAACTCTCCGTGGCAAACTCTTGGTGGTGCACTGCATTGTGAATCGCCCGAATTGGTCGATAGCCTGTTACATGGGGGTGGTTTAAATTGCCTTTTAAACACCACTGAGCATGCTGAGAAATGTTTAAAGGATTCATGAGATGAATTTTCTAAGGGAACACATTTGGTGCAACTTTCTACTCTTCTTAAAATATGAAAACTATTTGACATCCCTTTTCAGTAAATTTTATTTTAAAAAGCACTTCTTTTGGTGCTGAAATAGCTGGAACATTGAGGTTTCTGCCTGAAATGACATCACACTTCTGCTAATGAGTATATGAAATTCGCATTAGCATGAAAACAAACTTTACAAAGGCGCCAAAATATTTTGGAAATGGCAAAGCGACAATTGAGAATAAGGTTAAATTGAACATTAAGAAACATGTTCAAGGATTGCAATTAAAAAAAAGTTACATTAGCCTTTTAAAGGGAATGTACATCTTATTGGCTTTTGCTGTAATTTTTCAGAAATGAACTATTTGAGGGGTTACTATAATAGATCAAATATTGTTACACTGACATGTTTGCAGTTTTGAGTTCGAAAATGCTGAAAAACCAAGAAAAACACAAATGGTGGAGTAGTCTGGTTCCCTGACTCCACTAAAGATAAAATGGATCAATTTATAGATGCCGGAAAGTTGTAAGGTAAGGGAAACAGTCTACCTGGCCTGCACCCATTCATAAACATGTAACCAATAGCAAACAAAATTTGGACTGAAAAAAAATGGTGAATTTGGAGGAGAAGTTGAAAAATAGTTAGGTTTTTCCAACGGTGGTCGGCCGACCACCGTTGGAAATTTATACAAAAATATGATTTTCTTGAAAATGACTTCACACCAGGTGCCATCATTTTACAGGATGCTTTAGACTGTCATTTACCAACAATAACATCCTAGTAAGGTATTTCGTAAAAACTTGGTAGTTCTATTTTTCGATGTTTGCAAATGTTGTATATATTCCCTTTAAAACTGACCACATGCCCCTGAACTCCATGCCATCAGTGCATGATCAGTGTAACCAGGCAGGCACTCAAGTTTGGAAGATGGCATATTCCATTTATTATTTTATTCATCAGTGGCAGCATGGCAGCTGCATGTGCGCAGCCAGAACTGTGAAACTGTTCTTTTACAACAGACTTATTACATGTGCTCTGGCATGTCTGGTCAGTGGCTAGAACAAATCTGACCCCAGCTAAGCTGGACCACATGTTTGGCTGTGCCTCACATTCCTGGGCAAACAACACAGGGATTATGAATAAACATTTGTTTGCCTTAATATGTCTCGTTTGATTCCTTCTGTGTTTACTTTGTTATGTTGCTTGAAGCTTGGGTCCTTTCTATTATTGTGTGCACCCAATCTACAAACAACACAACTTTAAGGGGGCCCATACTCGACAAGCTGTGCTTCTTATGGACCCCCTCCATTTCCAAGCTTTGTTTTCATTCTTATTATCTTATGTTGTACTGTATTATTTATACTCTTATCCATACTATCTATTTACAAATGTTTATTGTTCAGCGTTTCAATTGGAAATAAAGTTAAGATTGATTGAGAGGGGTGAAAAAAACAAAGTAACTAGAGTAGAAAAAAAAACATACGGTACATGTGATTACTCTAGCAGACATTGGCAGAGGATTGGAATGTGGATACCCCCCCCCCCCCCCCCAGAGCAAAAACAACAGATTTTCCCACAGTGGTCCTAGGATAAAATACATTTTAACAAAAAAAATGAACTGCACAGAATGTACATAAAACAAAAAAAAGAACATAATAATTTCAATACTTGGAACATGCTTTAAAACATATATAAACAATCCAAAATTTGTGAAAAAGCTATCCCACTGAATTTTCAGAAAAGAGGGGAAACACATCAGTAAATGGCCATATAAGGCCTGGAATATGCCCAACTGGGCTTCAAAATGCATTTTAAATGAAATAATTTTAAATGGAAAGAACATTCAAAAGTAGATTGTAAACGTCCACATAAATATCCTTTAGAAACTGGGCGTTTTTGTGTTATGGAGAACCATGCAAGAACAAATTTCGGGGTTAATTTTGTCCCGAAAAATCAAGCTGCTCATCAGTGTTACATGTACATGTAGTTGTGATTCCGGCCGCACTGTGGTCGTCTCAGCAGACGAGTAAGAAACAACATTTGTGTATTGGTGCCGCGTGTAATTTATGTGACACACACAATGTGTATGGTACATTGAATGCAAACGACAGGAAATACGTGTAACGGTTAATTATGGATAAGAGTTGCGAACTCATGAATTTTCGAAGTACATTTTCTACAAGCAAATCTTTTTTTCTTGGAAAGTAGACAAACCAAGCTTTCAGAAACAGTTTTTGCTTTACTTCTACCGCGCACTTGGATTTATTTTCATCAAGGAATTGTTCTGATATTTCATTTCAAACTCTGTCACATTTTACCCATTTGTTAAGTTTTTTTGTTCGTCTGTCACATTTTTTCAATCACCTCCTGGTTGACAAAGTTGAACATACATTTTCTGTAGACTCTTCTGGTTTTTCAATATACTACAGGTCCTTAAAATAATAAATGCTTGTGCCTACATGTACATGTACATTTATTCAGCACATACAAATGTCACATTTTGCCCATTTGTTATATTTTTGTCCCATCTGTCACATTGTTCAATCACCTGTTGAAAACAAAAATTTAACATACTTTTTTTAAGACTCTTCTGTTTTTTTTTAATACACAACATGTACTACGTGTCCTTCTTAAAAATAATAAATGCTTGGGCCTACATTTATTCAGCAAAACCCGTCTGTCACTTCCCATCTGTCACAACATTTAATAATGAGCCTGGTGTTTCTACATGTAGTTCTCTGTTTTGAATTACTGAGTAAAACGTTCACTGATTATTGGCATAAAAGTGATTAACTTTAAAAGAAAAAAAAGAAAAAAACATTAAATTTCCCAGGGGAACAGATAGCTTTTTCCATCGAAAGTCATTTTCAAAATATGGAGTGTACAATTTCCGTCCCATTCTTGTCCGTGGTCACGCTGATGTCACTTTGTCACTTTACAGCCACTGAATCCTCTAGTTTCATGGCTTGTTTTTTAATTTGAAATTATAGAGTATTTACTTTGACTTCATACATAACTTAGATGGTTACACCTTACATATTGATTGTGGCAGGCCTTTGACCAAAACAAATCTGTAAATCTGTCCCGTCTGTCACGCCGGAATTGCGTCGTCTCTGATGTAAACATCCTGGGTTTTTTCATCTTTTCTTGCGAAAGGTAAGACATTACATGTAGGTTAGTTTCCTTTTAACTACATGTAGACCTTTAAAATAGGTAAACAATCCAAAACATGAAATTTCTGGGTATTTTAGGCCTTAATGCCCCTTAAAAGGGTACCAAAAAGATGATTGAAATACGGGGTACAGTACTTCACCAGTAACATTTAAGCAATGCAGTACATTTCCGCATGTGTACATGGGCTACATGTTTACACGTACACGTACATGAACAGACACGTTTGTTTATGGTGTAAATCAAAGATTTGGTATTGTTCCTCTTCCCTTTTCCTTTGTTTATACTCTTTTATAACTTTTTTGCAACAGCTCTCATTGGTTTTGTACACGTTTTCTAATCGAGGTTACCCCTGTTCATCAGGCCATGAGACCAGTTTTCTTCAGCAGCTCAAGATCAGCACAATGTAATCTCTACCCTCACAGATACCTTTTTTTTACTCCTGGGTGGAGAGGGGCAATTGTAGTAAAGCATCTTGCCCAAGAACACAAGCATCATGTTCCGTGTCACGGTTCCGAACCCACATACCGTCACACACGAGTCAGGCACCGTAACATTGGACCACTGTATGGCACTCCACACTAACTACCTACTGTGACTACTCCAGGTTTTGACCTTCGCTAAAACTTGTAACAGCTTTACATTTTCGTAATACTCACACAAGCAAACAGCAGCAAATAAATATATCGCTGCGGCGGGAGGCATACACAGATCTCCCGCCTGGAAGAACGGATACAACACGTAGTTGGAGAACGCAGACGCCATGATTGCTAGCATTGTCGGCGCACCGACTATTGTCGTAACCCAGACATACAGGAATGCGGGCAGCGGACCGAACGCTGTGTAGATGTAGGCATAGTCACCGCCGGACACGAGTATCATTGTACCTGCAACGATGTAAGACAATAGCCTCGGTCAAGGCGTTTGACGATAGTCTGATGATCAATGGTTGGCTGCCAAGAACAGTAGCTGCGCGCTAAGCACTCACATATACGGCAAGAAGCGTGGATAGTGCCCTCACGTGACTAGGCTACGATATGCAAATCAGCTGGTATTGAACGAACACCTTGGAACATCCATGACCCTTGGCTTGTGTTTTTCTTTATTTGTTGCTGGATTTACAGCAAAGAAACAAACAGTAAGTATTAAATTAACTCTTTTAGCCTACTTTTACTGTCCTGGCATCCATTAATTGTTGAGGTGTCATTTTTTTAAAAATATTTATTTCATCAGCAAACATAAGATTTTTTTGTTAGTCATGGGTTTTCATAGATGTTTAGTAACGAGCATGTCTATTTATGATGGAGGTTTATAAGAAAAGTATTACAATATTTTTAAAATTTTATAAGATGTTTAACATCATCTGGTAAGATTTTAAAAATTTTAAAAGATTTTTATAAGATTCTGTGACTATTCTTATAAGATTGTTCTAAGATTCTTATAAGATTCTTATAAGAGTATTTTGTAGGCTACGCCAGGGTTCTTATAAGAATCTTATAAGAATCTTATAAGAATCTTATAAGATCTTACTAATTTGCAAATAAAATACTTATAAGATTCTTATAAGATTCTTATAAGATTCTTATAAGATTCGTATAAGAAGGTTCTCAGATTCTTATAAGATTCTTACAAAATTCTTATAAGGCTCATACATGTGTATTACTTGGATAGTGTGGTTACATTCTCCAACAACTTTGGAGTCCGCAGCCTAAATATATCTTGATATAAAATCCAGCGACAAAATAACGAAAATATTGGCCACTGCCCACAAATGTTCCAAGGCGTTCGTTCAGCACCACCGGATTTGCATATTGTAGCACAGCCATGTGAGGTCGCTGTTCGCGCTTCGTACAGTACGCGTGATGACTAGTGCACGGCTACTGTTTTGCTGGCGGCTGACCATTGATCAACAGTGTCTCATTCACAAGTGAATAACTTTTGATTTTCTGGATAAATAGCAATTTAGAAAAGGATGTACCATTATATTATTTTTCAGGATGAAACTCGAAAATAGCAAAGGATACGCATCTTTAACGCTAACTCCCTAGACATCATTGCTAAGATGCACCCTCAATTATGTGGTCCTTGGAGGGGTGACCACTGCCTAAATCCTGCAAAGTCTTCCAGCAATCACTGTCAATATGTTGAGGCAGAGCCAGTGACATCCTGGAGCAGTGCGGAGGATTTCAAATACATAATACATGTATAGGCCTAAATTTATGCACGGCTGAGCATAAACAACACAAGTTCCGGCCTAAGACCTTGACACACGCATCCTCCAAAATCAGCCACATAATTTTGCCAATATACATTGTACAATCCTTCAAAATCCTCCATTTTGCAAAGAGGATTTTGGAAGATTTGGGAAGGTTAGAGTTAAATTTTAAAAAAGACTTAACCCTAACCCCCTAGGCCCTTGTTGCTTACAACCATAATCAATCCCCCAAAATCCTCCGAAATTTTTGCAACTCCGCCTAAATTTTTCAAAATTGTCAGACAGTCCTGCCTCAAAATGCATTCATCCTCAATCCTCCAAAATCCTCCTCATCCCAAAATTTTGCACTTGTGTTTAAATGAAGGATAACCAACGCCAAATCCTTCAAAATCATCAGACAGTCCTGCCTCAAAATGCATTCATCCTCAATCCTCCAAAATCCTCTTGTGCTTCAATCACCATTCATCCTCAATCCTCCAAAATCCTCATGTGCTTCAATCACCATTCATCCTCAATCCTCCAGAATCCTCATTTGATTCAATCACCATTCATCCTCAATCCTCTAGAATCCTCCAAAACCGCCAGGATTTTGGAGGAGTGAGGTGGGTTAGGGTTAATTAAAATCTGAATATATGGACCAGTAGCCTTCCTGTATTAATTCTCAACATCAGAAATTCGTGAATCGACTCCCTTTTTCCAACATACCCAACTCGACGTAGCACAGGGAACCAATGATAGAAAGAAGGCCTGCGATAGTCCACACAAGCAGTGCCATGCCGACAGAGCCGCTGCTAGCAAGCACAAACGACGGCGTAATGAAAATCCCACTCCCCATCATGACGCCCACCACAATAGCCACGCCCACCACTGGCCCGATTTTCTTCTGGAGTTTGATGTCAGGCGAGGGCGCTATCTGCACGTCGGACTCAGATTCCTTCATGGCTAGCTCATCCCTGTCCTCTGTAGCTTGCTGGATATTTTGCTCCTCCATCTTCAGTCGCAGTTTCTTGAGTCGCAGTTTCTGTACCTGAAATGTACAACATTATTGAGGCTTTTGAGCACCTGTCAACATGGTCAATTAACCCTAACAGAAGTCAACCCATCAAACCCCAACATACTGTACCCATCCTAACAGATTCCAACAATACATAGTGTATTGTTGGAATCTGTCAGGATGGGTGCAGTACCCCTAAACTGACAGTCTTTTACATTGGGTTGGCACACCTCCAGAAACTAAGTCAGAAATATGTGTGCACAGTTTCTCACATGGTGTTGGAATTTGCAAGGATGGGTATGGTTCCTAGTACATCATGTTAGGGAGTTAGGGTTAATAGATGGGCGTTTAATTAAGGGACATGTATTTGTGAAAAATGTCGGAAACATTTTTCATGAAAATCCGCCTTTTCATTTTAGCTTTCATTGTATTACACTGTCTTTATTCACTGAAAAATCACTAAAACCATCTGCTCCGGCAGTTTCGGGCGGAGAAATAGGCAGGGCTGTTTGTTTCAGATGCAACAGTGACTAACCCTAACTCCCTAGGGAGTGCGCAAAATCATATTAAAATTAGAGGATTCAGGATGGTTAGGGTTAGACTTAAAGGGAATATACAACATTTGCAAACATCAAAAAATAAAACTACCAAGTTTTTACGAAATACCCTACTAGGATGTTGGTAAAAGACAGTCTAAAGCATCCTGTAAAATTATCGCACCTGGTGTCAAGTCATTTTCAAGAAAATGGTATTTTTGTATACATTTCCAACGGTGGTCGGCCGACCACCTTTGGAAAAACCTAATTATTTTTCAACTACTGCTCCAAATTTACAATTATTTCCGTCCAAATTTTGTTTGCTATTGGTTACATGTTCATGAATGGGTGCAGGCCAGCTAGGCTGGTTCCCTTACCTTACAATTTTCCGACATCTATAAATTGATCCATTTTATCTTTAGTGGAGTCAGGGAACCAGACTACTTAAACAATTTTTGTTTTTCTTGGTTTTTCAAGCATTTTCAAACACAAAACTTCAAACATGTCACTTAAACAATATTTGATCTATTATAGGCCTACTAACCCCTCAAATAGCTCATTTCTGAAAATTACAGCAAAAGCCAATGATGTACATTCCCTTTAATGAAAAACTACAACTCTTATGTTGTGTATGTTGTAATGGTTTACAGTCAACTCGCCCGTTTACCAACTCAGCCGTTGGGTCAATAGTGCATTTTGCATTGACAGTCACTCGGCAATAGTCCAGTGGCATTGACCCAATGGCTGTTGCATGTTTCACTCAGCATCAATAATCAAGGAATATTCTGATTGGCTGATCCATACAAACACACAGCACAGTCATGAGCCAGCCATGACAGTGTGGCACTGGACGGTTTTTCTGAAGAAGCTACCGAAATCGAAACATTTTTCACATTTTTGTTTTTTTTGGTTCTGTTTCAAGTCATCATTTATTTTAGCTTCGTGAATGACTGCTGAATGGTATGAGGTATGTAAATCGAATCTGGGGTGAGGTTAATAAATAATAGAGGTAAAAAAAGACAATTTTGGGGAGGCCATTTTCAAAGGGTCTCTTAACCCTTACCCTACTTGACCCTCCAACGCATGCCAATATGTGCCTCAAGAAAATCTCCTATGTTTTTTGCATGGCCCTCCAATATCTGCCATGTCATTTCAAGGGTAACTGGACAGGCACTCCAATACATGCCACAGAGAACAATGAGAGTCCTCTGATAACAAAGTGAGTGCCCCCAGCTGGTCAGTTTCAGGCACCCTCCAGGGCCTCCAACTCCTGCCAATTGGAGCCTTCACTGCTAAGACTTGTTATCTGCCAAATAACTGCAGCTGGAGGGCATTGGCATAACCAACTGACATGCAGTAAACTACCCTCAGAGAGTAAGGGTTAAGACCACACTTTTATGCCTAGTTATGTCTCGGGAAAATTCGGCCAACCGATCACCACTTACCTGCCGCCAAACATCCAAATTTTCACCTCACCTTGTGATTTCAACCAAGAGGAATCCAGGAAAGAGTGGACATGGGAAACAAAAATGGTAAAAATGTGTTTTTGGAGCACATTTTGCATGCACATGTAGTGCAGATCTGAGTTGAAGCAGCCGTCAAAACTGATTGAAGTGTCTGGAACAGCGGTACGTAATTATACGCATGACATCGATAACCATGACGTCGCATGAGACGTCGCATGAGCCGGCCAATGATAGTGCAATACGTCATTATGAATATTTATTTTCTCATGAATATTTAGTTTATTTCAATGGATACTTCAAATACGTCCAAAGATTGATCATTGCAACAGCGATCGTGCGCGGCCTAGCGGTTAAGAGACTCGTCTGCTCGTGTATCAAGCAAGCGTCCGAGGTTCGAATCTCGATAAAGTGAGCGACTGATTGATATATATAGAAATTAAGGAAAGGAGGGGGTGAGAGTAGAGGAGGGAAAGTGGAGGGAATAACCATAAAAGATGTAACTTTTGGCGCTAGAAAATTAATTGAAAAAAGTGGTGATCGGATAGCCGAATTTTTCCTATGTCTCCAGCGTTACATGTGAATTCCTGATGAGCATGTTAAGCTGGAGTTACTCAAGCTAGCTATTATCATTATAAAGACTTACTGGAAAGAGTTCCATACTGGGCCACCACTTAGACCTCCTGCACAAAGTCTATGGGCCATGACAGAAAAAGTATTTAAATGAATGTTTGCACTCATTAAAGGGAATATACATCATTTGCTTTTGCTGTAATTTTCAGAAATGGAGGGAATTGGGGGGTTGGAAATATAAAGCAAATATAGTTACACTGACTTTTTGGAGGTTTTGGGTTCGAAAATGCTATAAAAACCAAGAAAAACGATCATTTTCCTGTAGTCTGGTTCCCTGACTCCATATAAGAAGAAATTGAGCAGTTTACATACATTGGGGAATTGTAAGGTCAGGGAACCAGTCTAGCTGGCTCGTACCCGTTCATAGGTTTGTAATCGATTGCAAACAAGCGCAATGGTCAATTGGGGCCAGTATTTGAAAAAAAAGCCAGTTGTTTCCAACGCTGATCGGCCGATCAGCGTTGGAAATTGATACAAAAATACCACTTTTCTTGAAAATGACAGTATACCAGGTGCCATAATTTTACAGGATGCTTTAGACTGTCATTTACCAACATCCTATTAAGGTATTTCGCAAAAACTTGGTAGTTTTATTTTTCGATGTTTGCAAATGTTGTATATTCCCTTTAAATAGTGTGTCCTCAGTACTATCAGATTTACATTACACTACAGTCAGGTCAGTCAGGTCAGTGTGGCCCAGTAATATGGAACTCTTTCCCACTTACTTACCGATGTATGTACACACACTAACGTAACGTAGGGCTTATTTTTGTGCAGATGTCTGGCCAAGCTACACTGTAACACAATAAACAGTCAGGAAGTCAAGCCTTGGCCGGCCAGGCGTACGTAATGACACGCTACGTCCCGTGCTTATTCCTCCATGCGTGAACCAAGCATTTAGGCCCTACGTCTAAAGTTTCAGAACTGTTTCCAATGTCAATATATTTTGCACACAGACTCGGCAAAGTGCAGTGTTGGCCATTCAAGTGATACGTCGATATCGGCTGATCATACTCGCATTGTATATCTCCCAGCGCAGCCTCCTTGACCCCACGAAAAATAAAGAAATTTCCATAAGAATAATCGCCCAACTGAATACTTAATAAGACTTGCTTTATTGTATTCAGCGTGATTGCGCACGTTGCAAAGCAGATACCCTGCCACGCTATGTAGGGCAGCGATCATGATGACGTCTGGAAACTCCTCCCGGGCCCCCGAATGTCAAAATGATAGAGGACGCTCTTTCACAACGGTGGTTCGAGCTTTCGAGCTGCATGATGCATGAAGCGCGAAAGCATTTCTGGTAGCAGACCAGTAAATAAACTTCCATAGACCCCAATGGTAAATGCTCCCACTTCAAAAATTCGGGAAAAATACTCACAACTATCCAAGGTGTTCGAGACACATATCAAATTAAAGCTTATTTCATCATCTTTCATTTTCTTTTCAATTTTCAACTTTTAGGAGAAATTTCCATCTGAAGATGATCACCCCTGAAAATAGTCCTGAAGCCCATCGCCATTTTGAAAAAAAACAATGCCTACACTCCATTGCAAAATAGAGCGCTTTAAGGGCCCCAATTTCATCCAAATTGAACGGAACTACAAGCTCACAGTCCTGTGCACGGCTTCCACCCATACTTTTTACAAACCCTCAAGTTCATATGGCCCACAGCATGCTCAGATACCGAAGATTTTGAGGGCATGCAAATCGTGATTTGGCCGGCGCAGGCAATTTCGGACCGATTTACTGGTCTGCACCCTTCTGCAGAGAGCCTACAAATTGAAGTAGGCCTATCTCAGCTTATGACCGTTCTTTTTGGACACTTTTAGAGATGATGCATCATTTTCCTTCACCTATACCCAGCGTGACCGTAACGTGAGCATCGAAGCTCACTGTCATAACACTTGGATGGATAGCCTGACCGTCACCTGGAAATTTACACCACCAACTATAGCTCCCGTCAGATTATCGAGCGGTCATGCATGGTCTATGGAATATCAGCATGCGTGAGCAGATTCGGCCTAAAAAAGGACTGCGTCTTGACCCGATATTCTGACCATTCCGACAGCGGGTGTAATTCTATCTGGTCTTCCTATCCGTAACTCGTTGGTGTGTTACATGTATTACAGAAACATGCGTAACAAGGTTAATGATTAACCATGTTATTAACATGGTAGCCAATTAAATTCAAATAATCAACAGTTTAATTATAAAGTCGACATTTCGGATCGAAATGACGTCACGATTTCTAAAGTCGACTCCGATTAGCAAGCGCGCGGGGTCGCATAAAATTTGCATTTTTCAGATTATCAGACGGCAAAGCGACGTTGGTTTAATACGGAACTCCGTTGGACAAAGGGTGATACTCGAACTACATCACTGGCGGCCGGGACCGGTGTGCAAGAGTTTATCCATTGCATGCAACTTTCTTTCAAGATCAAAGAAGCCTGCAGCCATAGGGTGAACATCATGCCCTTCCTTTCTTAAACAAATGTTACTAGTGTGGAGGGGTTGTGGCATAGTGTCAAATATTGACTATAAGACACTCGTCAACAGTGGGTTCGGATTGACAACAATTATTTATTGTGGCTACAAATGTAAAGGTCGGCAAGGCAGCGACCAGCGACGGAGGCGGCAAAGTGGCGCATAACCACACTCCGACACATGGAGGTGCCCTCCAATTTACCACTACAGACTTACGTTAGCGTCTGCAGTGGCCTAGCGACAACACCATGGGTCAATCCTAGGGTACCGAAACTTGAAAACACTTCACAATCAAACAATGCTTAACCATAAACTAACAAGTGAAAAGGGATACAACACTTTTAAGTATGGATTGGTCTAGTGTTGACCCTAATTAAACCGCTCAACTATAAGCCTCTCTGAAAAACTTGTAATAATGACTTTGTAACTACATTAAAGTTACAGGACTTTGTGATTAATCAAGAAGTTTGGGTGCAAATGGGTTCTTCTGGCTCCTGCACCAAATTTACTAAATATGCTAGTAAAACTAGTAAAACAATAATGAATTAAGGTTTACGGAAACACCATGTGCGAATAATTTCTCAACTAAGAGAATGGTTCTGAAAAGAACCAGAGGTATAAACTCGACGTTCCGGTCAGTATGCTCTGACCGTCTTCAGGAGCGTGCCTTAACTCTAAGAAAGTGAAAACTTAAGTAGCAAAAGGCGAAGTCAATGAAGTGAGACTGATGGGTCTCCTATACCCTAGGTCCTCAGCTACCACCTTAGACTGATGGGCGTCCTATACCCTATAGGTCCTCCCTCTACTGATACTGCAACCCTACTGTTCCACTTCAGTGGGCACCTAGCTTGTTCTAGGATCCTGTCTACTTGGCATCCTCACACTCACAGGATGCAACTTCTCACTTCATTGACTTTAATAGTCGAGTCATATTAAGACGAGTTTGTTTTTAATGTACATGTATGTTTACTATACTATGTTCTCTCCAAAGGCAATCTAAAAAACATTTTTTAATACACATAATACAAGCTTACTCGTCGATCACCGCCTGTTTTCCGCGGTTCGAATACATGTATCTAGTCGTACGCGTGTATTATCATGCACACGTGTTTTTTACACCGTGATGTCCCTCCATAAAGTGTCTAATTCATGTAGGTCGATCATGAAGTATCACGATTTAGGTAACACGGCTCATATCTCTTCTCTCAATGCAAGTCATATTTTCTTGCTGCATGGTCCAACCATATTCCTACATCCACAGTCCAGCTAACCGAATTAAAATTTGCCACTTAATAGGATGTTTATATCTCAGTCTGGTATGCAAGGTCTTCTGTGTATTATGCACCTCATGGGTTGGCATTATGTAATATCCCGAATTAATGTAAATATATGCGCATAGTAATGTTAGTAACATATGATATGCACACTTCAAAAAGCTGCTCGGTGGGAATAATTATGTAGGCAAAACTGCTAATTATAGACTTAAAGAATAAAGTTTAACTTAAAGTTGATGTTTTTTTCTTTAAAATATATAGTCGTAACTTTTTGATGCTTGTAAAAACTGGCTCGCGGTACGGAGCTGTGAACTGATTGCTAAATTAAATGTCCAACCAGTACATAAATTATGAACTCATGGAAGGTTGTAAAAAATAAAAAAAGGTTGCATGGATCAAGCGGCCGTGAAGATCTGAGCTACGACTTCAAGCTTTGGTTTCTGTGAAACTTGGTTAAAATTATAGGCCCAATAATAAATGCATGCTGTATTCTGCAAACATTTTTTTTTCAAAACGGCGATGGGCTTCAGGACTACTTTTAGGGGTGATCATCTTTGGATGGAATATAATGTTCTCCTAAAAGTCCGCAGTGGGCGTAATTATCACCAATTAAAGTCCATGGCAGTTTAGTTTCTGGTCTGCTGGCATAGTTATGCATTTGACTTGTGTGTAAGTGAATGGTATGAATTGTGTACAAGTACAAGGCGGTACCAGCTATGAAGGATACAGAGCTGCAGGTCAACACTCCGGGGTAATGCTGGAAATGAGTCAACACGACACGAGAGATTACAGGCTTGTGTTTGCAATCGGGCAATGTCCACGCCTCTACGGTGGCCTCTAAATGCCAGCTTTAGAAAGAAAAACAATATCAACTTTGACGTGTACACATGAAATTTGCGACTTCATTAGACAAACTTACCCAAGGTATCCCATGGTTTTCCCATGATGTCCATTAAGACCGCACGGTGTTCCCATGGCGTCCATAGAATCCCCATGGTGTTCCCATGGAGCTCATATTATCCCCGTGGTACAATCTCCATTGTGTTCCCATGGGTTTCCCATGATAAGCATACTAAAATCTCTCATAGTGATCATTTTTTACTTACATGGTGTTCTTGATGACACCATGGGTTTCAATCCAATGGGATGCCCATGGTACATTAAGGGTAAAACAGGGAAATGGTTTCAATTGAAAGAAAACAATCATCGCAGTTTTTTTAAAGGGTGTCCACAGGCCCGCTCAATTACATGCGTTAACAACGGAATCAAGTTCCGAGATCAGGTTTTCTCACTGTTCTTAAAATACAGTAGTCTCAGTTAACTATCAAATACAGTGGTCTGTTGTCATTTCTTTCTTTCTTTATTTATTCCATTTCTTAACCCAGTGTTTGCCAAACAGTTAAAAACTAGCTCCCATTGGGGCCCTGCATACATTACAAATTATTAAATTATTTTAAGTTAATTTGAAGGAAAGTGCATTGGTGAAACATACGACGAACATTAATATTTACAAATAGCCTACAAGTATTTCAGAAATATTAAGAAATAAAGCTACAGATTTTAAACATTGAACTATCAGGCCGCTTACTGATCACGGGATGGGCGAAAAAAAATCTTTGGGGGAAAAACGCATAGCAAATCCTTTGTGGTCAAAAGGACCCAATGTAAACCGGCCAAAAACGCACAGCCAGATGATCTTGCACATAGAGATAACAGCTCCCGGGCTCTGTGTACATGTATGCACGTGTACAATAGACAGGCCCTACGCACTCAGCCATGAGCAACGGCAAATGTTATTGGAGTTTAGATGAACAATTCTTTTGTAAATGAATATGGGCGAGCCTCATCCTGAACCAATCACAGTAAGGGTTATATTGTTAGAAAGCTTGAAGAGACCAAGAAAAATTACCAGAGAGAACTAAGCTCCTATATGTGGCGCTGTTGAACGTTGTGATGATTTGAATGGACCGGTTCTTAGCATGAACGCGTGGTTTACACGTATAAACAAAACTGGGAGATTTTTGACTAAAAATGCGGTGTTCAACATAATTTTGGCGAGGGAAAATCAGTGTTTTACTCTGTTTTTCTTTCATTTTTTGATAGAATATATTGTTAGGGTCATACTGTAGTAAGAACTAAGGTATACTCTGTCGAATACCGGCGGCGAAAGATGCGAAGAAGGGCCTGTTTTTGCCGTGTTCTCTCATAGAGGTTGCATATGAATCCATATGATCCGGCTGCAAATTAATACCATTCGGGCAAACCAAGTAAATAACTCCGTAGATCGGCGCATTTTGAACTTAATATCACTAACTGACATGCAGACATGCAGCCTACTTAAGATTTTGAGCAAAAACGTGTTGCTTGATAAAATGGCAAGAAAAAGGACACAATCATAGGCATACCTGTAAGTCATTTGCTGTGTCATTTCAGGGCCTCTGTACTTGTTTTTGTATGCGCCTGCTGGGTTTAAAACCCGACGGCATTACAACCCGTTAACATATGTTCCCAATTCACTGACGTGTTAAGGCCATTGTGTAAACTTATGCCAACAAAATCTGGTTGAAATCGATTCCTGTATAATTTGAAGTTTTCTACCTCGATCGGAATTGCGTAGAGGTTTCTTTTTTCCACTAAGTCAAGATGAATCCAAAAGTTGTGATTGGAATCGCCGCGACAGTGACTCTTGCTGTGGGGATTGGTGTCGGAATTTTACTGGGGCATTTCGTGACCGCGCCGGCCACGGCAGGTAGCGGGAAACCCACGGCGAGTGCGCCGACCGCGCCGCCCAGCTACCTGGACGCGATCAAAGAAGCGGACGCCAGCATCAGTGGGAAACTCATAAACGGCATCGTGGCGGAAAACATCAGATCAAATCTCATGTAAGTCATTTTGATGATTGATTTATTGGGTTGAAGTTAGGCCTAATTTACTCTGGTTTTTATTTTCATTTCAAGCAACAAATATGCTCAAAATCTGAAGTATAGGTGCGTAACAATACTGAGTCCGAAAATGGGGGTCTCAAAACTTAAGGTATTGAAACTATGCCTACATGAAAATAGACAGGCACCTGAAACAACCAGTCCAATGACCTTCAGCGGCTGCGCCAAAGGGAACATCTGACATATCTTGTACTAGGCTTATTTCTTTACATGTCCTATCATTAGTCAGCCACCAGACTGCAATGAATCATGGAGGAACTTCTTATTCCTCCATGAATGAATGGAGAGGTCGGTCTTTTAAACAATTCGGGACCATGGTTGGACATTCACCAGTCTAGTCTTGAAGTCACTTGACTTCCCCTCTCATCTGCAAATTATTCAAGAAATGTCTCCTTTAAATATTGAGTAAATGAGTCTTCAAACTTTTGAGGTGAAAATGAGGACATTTTCTTTGCCCAATGAAAATTTTGGAGAATTGTGCTGATCTAAAAAGTAAAGTTGACCTGATTTTGTTTTGAATGTTTTTCAGCACTCTAGGTCCCAGTCTGCAAAACAACTAACCTGAAGTTTCAGCTCATCAGGGGCTATGAGAAAAACGAAGAAAACGTTCTTATGCACAATTTTTGGGATCTTGTATTCCATTGCAAACGCATGTAAAGTGTGGCCGCGGCTAGCTACGCATTGAAAAAACACAAACACACTTTGAATGATATTGTTATCTTTTGATCAAAACCGACGGAATAATTTCACAGGACATTTATGGACCATGCCCTATAGCTATCTTTAATTTGAGCAAGGTTTTTTTCCCATTTAATCGCAGCTTTTTGTATTGCGTTTCTGGAAATTTGCCACTGTGTCTATGTGTCTTTATCTGATGGCCCATAGGTTAAGCTCGTTATATGTTTCTAAACATCTAAAAGCCTATGGAGTTTATCGTGTTTGTGAAATTCCATCGAATTACAAAAAAACAACCATGCAGCTATAGTGATTGGTTGCAGTCTTCCCAGTGCTATAGACTCGAACCAGCCAGCTAGGCCCAGCGAACTCGGTGGTCGAGTAGTATTAGACGTGCTCGTGCACTAGTACTTTCGAGAATGTCAAACTTTACGTGACTTCTGATACCTAAACTGTAACACACCTATTGCTAGCAGACAGTCCGCTGATACTAGCTGACTGGAGCCTTTTCAGTGTGTGTTTACAAAACGCCTCTGGCATGTTGCCATGCAGACGCTTTAGTTATTGTATACGGCGGTTCAAAATTGTGAATGTATGATCGTCGGAAAACCACCTGCATCACTATGATATTTCTAAAGTCAAGCGCAGTTCAAGGACAATGCAATTTTCGTCTGTAACTTTAGCTACATGAATGTTCCAAGCATATACAGTAATAGAATACATGTGAAACATTACTATGCCAACCACTGGGCCAACGCAAAATACGCCATTGCACACACGCGTGTACTGCAAAATAGGTTCCGGGATCGAGCGGGACAATTAGGTTCAACTAGATGCACCGGCCAGGCTTTTTCATGATTTCAATTTCTCTGTACTATTAAGAGATATGGTACATATGATGTCTCTATCTTTCCCGGAGACAGACGCCTCTAACCCTGAATTAATTAAGCATCTAGATACCCGCCACGTTGATGCTAGAATTAAGAACCAAGACGCATTAAAACCCTTTAAAAAAGGTACACAGGTTGTGTAACATTACCATGTTTCATATGTATGCGAACTCGCTTGCAAATATGTAAAAAGTTACCTATGAAACGTGTTTGGTAAAAGTTTTTTTGACAGTTGTGTAAAGGTTCAATGTCTTTGTTCACATTTAAAAAAAAAAAAAAACCCAAACTATTCCTAAGTTGATTGTAACTCTCAAATGATGTAATCATCAAATCGCATACGAAATGGTTATAGTACAGTGTAACATCAAGTGCATGGGTCAGCCCGTAGTTTTATTTTGCCAAAAAAAAAAAGCCAAAAACAAAAAGCATTAAGGCCCCCCAAAATAATTAATGATAATATTTTTTTTATCGGAAAAATGAGAAACTAACACCCACAACCATCAATTTCTACATTGTACCCTTGACTACACACAGAAGCCTCCATATGATCGTACACAAAAACAATTTGCCAAAAAAATAAAAAAAAAATCCCTACCTATTTTCAAATGTCACGTAATCGGAAGCAGAACTGTTTTGGGGGGCCTAATCATTCCAGTGTCCCACTGAAAAAAATATATGCTGTAAAAAAATTTCAAGGAATTTTTGCGCAATTCGTCAAAATTGGATCCATGAAAAACAAGAGTAAAATATGAAAAATGTAAAACCCTCGCAATCGTAGAAATTGAAATTCGTCGTTTCTGAAGATCTCATCCGGGCCAGGGATCTGGCATTAAATCCGATAAAAAGCCAGTAAACCGATTAACCGATTACAAAGATAAATTATCATGATTTCAAGCAAATGCTTGACATTTAATCCGTTAAGCGGGATTATCGATTGGTAATTGATTAATGAGCGATTTTATCAGAAAATACACTCAGAGATTGTGAACTTATTTCCCTTTTTGCTGGTCACAGAGGGGAAGCCCATATAAGGTGCCCCCCCCCCCAAGGAAATAAAACCCGGAAAGGCGTACTTCCGCTACCCTGAGACTCAAGCAACCTATACCAATGCATGGGGAATCCTTTTTAAGAAAAATTATACCAATTTCGCCCGATTTGGTTCATTATAGTTTTTGTTCTAGAGCATACTTTGGGAAACAAAGTCGGGAGCCATTTTGTCCTGATGAGTCACTAATCCCCACCCGCAAATTTGACTTAATAGGGTAAAAGATTCATTGTTATGTAATAATACTCGCATGAAAGATGTGTGCTTCACAAAATAGGCTCTGTAGCAAAAACTACTGGACCGAATCTTGTAATCATATTTCTTCTAAAAAAAACCTCCATTGGTACAGGTGTTTTGAGTGTCAAGGTAGTGCAAGTGTGCCGTTACTTTGCCACCATGCATATTCTTCCTTCCTGACTTACTCACGGACTTACTGACTCACTGACTATCTCAATGCCTGAGTTTCACTTGTTAACCGGGCAGTGCTATCGTATTGGATCCCCCGTACATAACGCCAATGAATGGGCTAAATCCAACCATTGTGCACACCACATGCTGTAGTATCCTTACATGATGGTATATGTATAGGCGCTTAGTGCTCTGAAACCACACACCCAAACCCATCAGACATTACCTCATCCACACTGGAATGAATGAACCCCACCTTACTAAATGAATAATGAATAAGGCCCCAACTTGGATCAGATTGCACCCTAGAACAATGTAGCCCTTTGTTAAGCATTGAACCTCGTGTGATGTACTGAGATGTACTGATCTGAGACACAATAAACCAAGCAAGCATCGAAGCAACCACTATAATCCGTGTGCTAGTGACGAGCTTACTACATTACACATGCATGAAAACGTTCCACTAAATAGCCATTCCGAATTCACTTATATGTTTCTTATTTTAACAGGGTAGCCCATTCAGTGGCACTGGTCTTCCATGGGGCCCAGTAAAGAGAAAACACTGTGAAGAAATCACAGTCGTGCATGCGGGAGGAAAACCCCAGAAGAATATTCTGAGGACAACCCACGGAATCAAGTGGGGACTGAATACAAAATCCTCATATTAATGGCCAAGGCAGGAATCAAACCCGGGTCACATCGGTGGAAGGCGAGGAAAGTACCGCTACGCCAACCTGACTCCCTGACTTGAATATAATCTTGTGCACTCTGGAACCAGCTTTACTAGACAGTTACCTTATCTAGTTTACAGTGATACATCGCACGTTTTTGTCTTTTAGAGCTTCCATTTCGTGCTGCAGTCTTAAGCCAAGCAAGGGCGTATACAATTACACAAAACTGTTTTATAGTTAAGGGTCAAAACATGGCCTATATTATCGCTCGTTTTTTGTGTGCATGAACCTTAAGATCAATATACCTTTGTTGGTTGTAAACACTATAGCCTATTTGTAGTTCAACACAAACGTGTTCGTGTTTACAAAGCTGGTATAACACTGCAAAAAATGCTGGGGAAATGCAGTGTTGTACTAATCGAGTACTTAAAAATATGTAGGGTATTTTTTCGTATTCGTACTTAAATGTCAAAATACTCGTACTCGACATGACGGTACTCGTACTCGGGCATTGTACTCGATCATCAAATTATTCGTACTCAAATGGCAGAACCCGGAGAGAAAAATGGTGTAGCTGGACTTACCACGGCCTTATTTTATCGATACTTTCAGTTTGAAATAGTTGATTGGCTTGCGGAGAAATCGAAGTTTCCTGATTTTCCTCAGTGCGGGTCCGGACAAGCTCATTAAACGGCTATAGCCGTTAAATTACTATTGTGCCAACACGTTGGGTAAAACGTTGGGCAAAATTTGACCATTTTTATTTTGGCAGTGTAAAACGAGCCCAGTTGTGCCACAATACCCTTGCACAAAAAAAGCAGTAACAGGCATGATAACCTTGGCCTACTTATGCAAATTCTTTCCTCGGAATAAATGCAAATTGAAAAAAAAAATATCTCTCTTGGGAAAAGCTCGAGGTCACAGTGGACCTGAAAAGCCCAAAAATAACTTCACAACTGAGTCCGTTCACTTGATTCGATGCCAATTGAAACTTCAGCAACATCAATGCATTCCCATTATTGTATCTATACACTCGGCACTTGACAAACACGTACACGATATAGTTAGATTTGATAAGCAAACAATCCATGGGCTGTAGTCAGCTGGTTGCAATGACTGTTTTCTAGTCACATCTACTACCTGTTGTAATTGTGTACATGTAATAGTTGATGCTTTTGGGTATATTTATTAGTCTACATTAGTATACAATCATTTTCTCTTCTTTAGACGCAGATTTCTCCAAATTGGAAG